TTCGAGGTATTTATGTATTTATTAATTGGATGCATGGCACAATGCAGTAAAAAATAACCCAAGCGAATTCTATATTTAAACAATAATAATAGTTAAGTAAATAAATATGTAATCGGCTAAGGCTATATTCGAAATATTTTATGAACAAATAAAAGTTAAAAGTTAAAAAAAAAAAGATAAATATTTTGGTATGCTCAAAATTTGCCGTCCCTAAAAATCTGCCGCCCCAGGCCCGGGTCTAATTGGCCTAGGCCTAAGTCCGGCACTGTATATTACTCATCTAGTTAGAATAACAGTATTGATATTATTCAACAAGCATGTAATAATGGTTATTACTTAAGGGTTGGGGGATGGTGGATGAAGTTAGTGTTGTAATTTATATGATTGAGTAGGGCAATAGATATCGCTTGCGAGATAATCACTATAATTTTTCTATGACTGAAATAGAAGCATCATTTATTTTGTTTTCGGGAGCTTTTATTACAAATTGACATGATATATTTTTCTAGATTTCTGGAGATATAACCAGCTTAGTATTACTCATCTTTTACAAAAATATTATCATTATTATAAAAGAATTGAGAAGTGCTTGTAATAAAAATAATTGTAATCATCACTAGAACTGTAACAAAGAAAGAAATTCTCAAAGAAACTTTTTAAAGCTTAATTTTCTGGTGACGTGGAAAATCATTTACGACATTTCTGGGACTACTATCAATTTATTTACTTTTTTTAAATAGGGATCTGATTATACTGGTGTATAAAACATCAGTATATCTAAAAAATTTCTATACCTATGTGGCGGAGATGACGGATATGTGGCTCCAAAAAATCCTCTATGGGTACAGAGGCGTGTCGTATAGGGGGCCAGGGGGGGCGAACGCCCCCTCCGCCCCTATGCGCTTAGCGCCTCTGGTGCCCTTTGAAAAAAAAAAGAAAAACTAAATTTAACACAAAAACAAAGGGTGCCCTACCGTGTCCTTAGCTCTTCAAGATAAAAAAATGACGTATATATTTCTCACATTTAAATTTGTTTTTTAATGTTTACTTATATTTAATAATTTAAATCTCAAATGAAATAGGCGTACACGTACGAAAGTTTTCATATGGGTTTGAAACTACGCACCGCTAGACCATTGTCGATAAATAAAAATACAATGGCTAGACCAGGGTTGCCACAAGAAAATTTTTGATTGTGTAGAACTTGACCATAAAAATGTGTAGCATTGTGTAGCCATCAATGACCAATAATTGTAAACTATCCAATAAGACCAAGAATAAGACGTACGTTCGCCAAATTTTAAAGCATTATTACGAGTCTCACTTCCAGTCGTTTTTATACGTCAATATATTCATTTCCCATTTAATTTCCTTTCGTGCCAGCAAATATTGCAGTGACGCCAAAATTGATGCCGCGAAACTAACGATTATATTAACGATTATATGGACCAATTAGACCTGTTAAAAAAGTATGTTTAAAAACTGTAAACTATTGAGGACTGTTTAATCGGCCAAATTTGTCCATAGGAACTGCAGTCCTTGCTGATATGGGAGGAAGTGAAATAGGAATTGAATAATATTTACGTATGACAACGAGTAGAAGTGTGACTGAACTACAGTGACGTAATTGAGCAGTGAAATTTGAGCAAAGGACGTTTTATGTATTATTTAAGGAATTCCAATCTATTTACCGTGTATTTACCGACAATCCTGTCTATTTACCGTTTTTGAATCGATCAATAGACGGTCCTTGATTCATGACCCAGTTCATACTCTGGTTCATACTCTGACATTTTACTGAACACCTGAACACTGATCACTGATGACGGAAAACGATATTTGTCAGTTCAAAATTAAAAGTTCACTTGCGGCCTCTTTTAATGTAACTTAGATAACTTAAAAGCAAAAAAAACACTTTTTCTCAGCTGATTTACTGTTCTGGTATTATATTTTATAAGAAATATGTAAATTCTCAAAATGTGTAGCACAGGCGATTGTGGTGTAGCTGTGCAATCATGGAAGCAAATGTGTAGCAAAATACACAATTGTGTAGCTTGTGGCAACCCTGGGCTAGACATAACTTTGACATAACGTTGCGCCGGCGCCGTCAAAGAAGAAGACGAAATCAGTCGCGATGGAAATAAATTCGGGGAATCACCGACCGAAATATAATCGATTATAATGAAGTGATGAATAAAATTAATATATTGTCCAATCACTTGCAAAAGGTTAATATCAACTTATGTACAGCTGCTCATATGATTACTGCGGTAACTAAAGATCTCAAATCATTAGAAAGTGAAAAATATTTTGAAAATTTTAAATAACAGGCTACTATTTTGGCAAATAAATGCAATACGTCAATCATTTTCCATAAAAAGACAAAGAAGAATAAAAAAATTCATGATGAAATCCAGAATGATTACCTACATCAAAATTCTGAAGATAATTTCAAGATATCAGTGTTTTATGGTACTTTAGACATTTTAACTGGTACTCTAGAGAATCGGTTTGAAGACTTCCTTAATATATGCCAAAAAATTAATTATTGTTTTATTGGATATGGACGTCAATGATGACAATTTAAAATGTCTTATGGAAACACAGATATTGTACCAAGCGGATGTTAAACCTTTTTGCAGTTTATTAGAAGAAATTAATGCTGATGACAACAAACTTGCACCTGACAAATATTTATCATTTTTAATTTCCAATGACCTAGAGTCTTCATATCCATCTTTATGGGCATTACTGAGGATTTTTTACACTATACCTACCAACAGTGCTGATGCAGAATGATCTTTCAGTAGATTAGGAAGAATTAATAATTACTAGAGGTGCACCAGCACACAAGATAGAACCAATTATTTATCACTTCTCAGTGTTGAAGCAGACACAGCTCAGGATCTAAATATAGACGAAATGATTGATTCTTTTAAATCGGTTGAAACAAGACGCTTGCATCTTTGAAATAACTGTTTTGTATACTAACTTTTTTAATAAACAAATTTATAATTTGAAAAAAAAACAAAAGTTTTCATGTAGTCCTATTATTTAAAAAAAAAGTTTGTAATTTATTTGATCCTTTATTGATCATTGCGCTCCTTAAGGTCTTCGCCCCCTCCGCGCTTTTATCCACGACACGCTACTGTATGGGTATTTCGCCACTTCAAGAAAATCTACAAAATAAAATAGTTATTTTTTATAAACACTTCTGCGTTAATCCCAAACGGAAACTACTTGTCAGAAGTTATGTTTACAGTTATACAAATTTGCCTAACGAACAAAAAAATGCTTAACGTTTCGGAAAGTTTATCTCTTTCCGTCGTCGGAAGCAAAAAAAATAAAAAGAATAAAGAAAATAATTATTTAAAATATTTAAATTCAACTATTCGAGAACACTTTAGTTTTTTAAAACAGATAGGTCTACAAAAACCGTTGACGTTCTGTTAAAATAACATTATATTCATAGATAAAAGAAAATAATCTTCTATTAAGATAGATATGAAACTTAATAGTAAAATTTTGGGTCAAAGCGCCCCTCCGTGTTCTTAGTAGAGACTACGTTTAACCCAGCGCCTTCGCCTTTTCTGCAGTAAATATTTGTTATGTTTATATTTGATTTCAAAGGATTTAATTTTAAAGTTACACTGATATATTAGTATAACAGAGTTAATTTTAATAAAACATAAGAATATATATATTTGACAGTTTATTAAATATAAATTTTGACTACAAGGTAGAAAGTAAATCACAATATTTGATAAAACTTATAAGTATACCATTTTTATAGTTAATAAATAATAAAACTATTTCTGACTATGATATTTAAAATTTAGATAGATAGAATATTAAAAAACATACCGGTATTTGCAGACGCAGGCCCAAATTCAATAAAAACCAAAATTTTTCCTGCGAAAATCGGGCTTTATTCACGGAAAAGGTATTTTTTGATTTATCAACAATCATTGTCAAGTTGACAAAATACAGGGTGTTTTCTAATTAGTCTAAAAAATTGTGGTGTGATTCCTCATGTGTTCTTAAAACAATTTTTATATAACCATTAGGTCTAAAGTACTTCCTTTCTGATCTACAGGGTGTTAAAAATTAAAAAAAAAAATCGATATTTTGCTTAACATAAATGGTACACTACTGCTTTTTCAAAGAAAATATATTTTTTTCTTGACTGGCCCTCCTTTTTCAACAAAATTGATCTTTTGAGTTTTTCTTGTTCATCAAACGGTTGCCGAGAAAAAAATAAATATACTTATTAAGAGCCCGCCTTAAGCCGTTTTCTAACGATTTTTTATTTTTTAGATTAATTAGAAAACACCCTGAATATGCATATCACAGGCAACCAAATAAACTAGTAACCTCTAAAAATTATTTTTCCTACCACTAGCGACATACCGTGTTTTTAGTGAGTACTAAATTATTTTATCAAAATTTCACCATATAAGTTTCCAGGCAATGATTATATCTCAAGTTAAACTTCAAAATTCACAATTACTACCTGATAACAATTACTTAATAAGGTAAAATAAAGAGCCCCAAACTTTCTGTATGACTATTTTTAATTTTTACGTAGGTGTTTTATGTTTATTTATGTTATGTTCTTTAAAATCAAAGAAGCGATTGCCATACATTACTAACATCTACAGATGCATGAGCAATACATTTATTTTTATTAGATTGTATTAAAATTAAAAAGGCCTTTTTTATCTTGCTTTTAGAAGCTATCCCTTCTTTCATTATAATTTTGGCGTTATTAAAATTTATTCTGTGTCCTGTGTCCCATGAGTGCTGACAAATCTTAGATTAGAAATCTGCCTTTCTTAAATAATGTTTATGTTCTTTAATTCCGTGTTGAATTAAAGAACAATTATATATTATTATTTATGTATTACTTTTTGGAGATTTTCTTGCAGTGGCGAAATACCCATAGAGGATTTTTTGGAGAGACCAGTATAGCTTTTATTAATTCCTAAAACTACCTTTACCTGCCCATGTAGACGCATCCTTTGAATATTACCTAACGCTTGGGCGCTATGCCCAGTGGTCTTTAAACAATAGCCTTTGTTGGTAAAGAGGGGCGAATCGAGCCCCTCCGAGGTAGGAGTTTGTGTGGAAGCTTCGAACACAATGGAGCTGCCAGTGGCTTGGCCCGGACTATCCGGGAGCTGTAACCTATCTGGCACGGCACCTGTTTCAGGAAGATCGTTGTTCATTTTTATAAGATTCTGTTTCAAGATGATTGGTCTGAAAAGGGAACATTACAAATTTATTTGAAAATATTTAAGAAATTTAATTAATTTGCCTACAGTTACACTAACTGCAAATAAAGTAAATTTCATTGCTCAAATACAGGGTAGCGCGGCCTCTCATACGCCGCAGAGGCTCCAAGGAGAACGACAGTTTGTATTGAAATGGAATTTTGTGAGCATATGTAGGTTAATTTTAGAGCACTTTTTAAAAATATAGAGAGTTCTACAGGGTGTCCTCAAAAAAAACTTACATATCAAAGTTGTGTTTTTTTGTAACGGAACACCCTATATATTAATTGATTTTCGGATTTTGGGAGAAAAATAAAGGTGAGTTTTTTAAGAGAAGTATATGACTAAAATGTAAAGTTTTTGACATATTTAACATTTTCTAGAAATAAAGAACAATTTTTAAATTACAATAAAAGCTACCTAAATTGGAATTTACCCGGTATAGCCTAATATGTAGTTAAATTAACTATTGTACTTTAAATCAAATTAAAATTTGATCCAAAAAAGTTATACAGGGCGAGACAAAATTAATATTGAACATTGGTCACCTTTAAAAGCATTTTACTTTTATTTTAAATATAACACCCAGTATATTATTCCGATATTCAATGGAGAAGTTACGTCTCTTCAAAGTACTATTAAGGTTGCCTACCCCTCAAACAAAGATTTTCTTAGATATTTGCATTTACATGATTTGATCTGAGTAGATCTTTATTATTTGATAATAGAGAGTAGATCTTTATTATTTGATAATAAAGATCTACTAGGTGGCTGTGATATGTCTGACGTTACTTCAACATAGCTGTCTAATTAGTCCAACTTAAACAACTAGTTATCATTTTGTATCAGTTAAAACAAAAATTCTCAGAAATTTGCCGAAAATCCAAACTTATCCTACATCAGAGAGAATTGATATGATTCTATTAGTTGGTGAATGCAGTGTGCATTCACCAATTGATAGAATACTTAAATGCCTAGTCTGGATTTTTTATGAGGATATGTTAAAGAAAGTGTTTACAAAACTCGACCAACTATTGTCGACAACATGAGAGAAATTATTGTAGCTGCTTTTCGAGGTAGAACTCCACATATGCCTTTTAAAATAAGAAGATCCTTTTGAAAAGACAATCATTTTATGCAGTTAACAGAAAAGAAAGCATTTTGAGTTTGAGCATTTGTTTTCATCTAGTTATTTTTTGTCACATAATTATAGGTTTATATGTAGTTTTAATTCTGTAATAATTAAAATCTCTTTTAAACCTGTATCTTTTTACTACCGTTGAGTATTATACATTATACTCTACATTCTTTAATTTTTGTTAAATTAACAAAAGGTATATCACAACCACCACCCCCTCCCCCTATTTTCAAATAATAGGAGGGGGTATCGCCCCCCCATATTTCAAATAATAAAGATCTACTGACGCAAAATCATAAAAATTAAAGTATCTAGGCTTATCTTTGTCTGAGGGGTAGGCAACTTTAATAATATTTTGAAGATATATAAATTCCCCATTGAACACCGACAAAATATACTGGGTGTTCCATTTAAAATAAAGGAGTAACTTGCTTTTAAAAGTGACTAACTAATGTTCCATATTAATTTTGTCTCACCCTGTATAACTTTTCGGGTCAAATTTCAATTTAGTTTAACATGAATGGTTACTGTAATTAAATATCAACTAAGGTCACCTAAAATTTAGGTAGCTGTTATCGAAATTTAAAATTTACTCTTCATTTTCACAAAATGTGAAATATGTCAAAATCCTTAGATTTTAGGTATATGCTTCTTTAATAAAACTCACCTTTTTTTTCCTAGAATCCGAAAATCAATTAATATATAGGGTGTTCCATTACAAATAATACAACTTCGATGTGTAACTTTTTTTGGGACAGACACCCTGTATAATTCTATATGTTTTTATAAAATGCTTTCAGTTAACCTACATATGCTGCCAAAATTTCATTTTGATATAAACTACCGTTCTCCTTGGAGCCTCCGCGTCGAGTGAGAGGCGCCACCCTGTATAATACCCTATATGTTATGTTCAGAATTGAACTAGAATTTTTACTAACTACTAAACATTACCTAAAAAACTAGTATTTAAAAAAATACTTACCCTTTAAATAAAATCTTATTTCACACCGCCCTCAAAAGCTCACTGACAAAAAGCACCAACCTGTATCACCTTTTATATATAGATAATTATCAATCCGAAATACTTATAGTACGAAACGTCAACTCAGAATGATTAACCTCGACTCTTATTTACCATTTGTTCGTATCGATATTCTTCACCCTATCTTTATTCACAGTGTATCAACGTGGAAGAAAACCGAGGATAAAAACGTCAGGGATGGCAGTGAAATCGGGACTGGCGAGGGAAAACAAGTGAAAGCGCAGCGTCGCGGCGGAAGGTCGCGTGGAGCGTCGCGCTAAGCGTCGCGACGCTTCGGCAAGGGAAACACGGAACAGGATACGAACGAGAGTGTAAGTGGTGCCAGTCAGTCTTGCCATATAACTTTAGACTTTTTGAACAGAAGAACAAACGAAATTGGAGGGTTGATACCTAAAGCTTCATTCAGAACCTCGCAATTAGTAGAATAAATTAGTGGTTTCAATTCGTAGAAGTTTAGCTTCATTTAGAACCTCGAAATCAGTGGAATAAATTAGTGGTTTCAATTAGCCGTAGAAGTTTGTTCACCTAATTTTAATAATGCCTCAAAACTTGCGAGGAATGTCATTTTGGCCTTTGGTTATCACCTGTCAAGAAAATTTTTAGTTAGAAATCAAAAGTTTAAGGCGGAATTACATTACTATCACGTCACGTGAATTCACGTGAACACACATGAGCAGTAAATTTGATGAGACCAATGTTTTGCATTTATTTTATTAATCAACACATCAAGGGTGAACACATTATTGTCACTTGGGGGTATTCATGTGAAATCACGTGATATTGCGAGTTGTTTCGCGCTCAAATGTTCTGTTTTAACATCAATTTCGTGAGGCGTGAAAACGTGAGGGTTGGAAAATGGAAGAAATTCTAATAGAAAAAGTGCGTTTACACGAGGTGCTTTACAATAACCGATCAACAAATTACTCTCTTTTCAAATTAATGTCATGCCCCATTGCCTAGTTTTAATATTATCAGCAACCACAAGTAAACCACATGTGTTTTCTAAATCTTCTTCAAACTCAGAAGATGAAGATGAAGATGAATAACTATTTATTTGATTCATTATTACGTTAAGTATAGGACCTAAGTTGTTAAACTTGAGAAGAACGAACGAGAAATGGCTTTCGGTTCATAATTAAATGCGCATAATATGAAAGAACGACGTGATACTATGTGTTTCCTTTAAACCACACGTGAACTCACTTTTTCTGTGATAGCATGTGAACTCACGTGACGTGACAGTAATGTAATTCCGCCTTTATTGTTTTATAAGCTAAATATTATGCTTTCTCTATGGATACAACAGACTACCGCAAGCTGTTGCTAGGATATTTTATTAATTTTAATTGAGTTTTTTAGACATTGTGAATGATCATAAACTAAAAAGTATAAAGTGTAATTGAAACCACTAATTTATTCCACTAATTGGGATGTTCTGAATGAAGCTTTTGTTCGTCTAATTTCGATATAAGCATTCAGAATGTTAAAATTAGTGGTAGGGATTTTCAATTTTGATTTGCCAATTTTTTTTATACAAGACGATAAAATGGTATTTTATCGTCGACCGAAAAGATTAATTCACGAGCGACCAAATCGCGAGTGAATTAATTTCGAGAGATGATAATGCAATTTTATCGTCGTGTATAAAATAATATTTTTTTTTCCATAGCGAGTTACGTTTTAAAAAATATTCAGAAATTATTATTTCAAGGAATTTATTACGAGTAGAAAAAATTGGCGCCGGGAGGCACGTATAGCCGCCCATACTAAAATATGTTAATAAAAAGTTGGTAGGCAGTTCTTTTAGTTTCAAAGTAAAGGAATTTTTCCAATTTTTTTTATCTCAAAAACTGCGACTTGGACTGATTTTGATGTTATTACAAATTTTGTTGCAAATATTATTCCTAATCTTAAATTGAAAACCGCGTTTCGCTAGCCACTGTAATTTTGGAGTTACGATTTTTTTAAATTTTTAACCTCTTCCCATACCCCCACCAAAAACTAATGGCCAGATTCTCGGGTGCCACAGTATTTTTGTGCCAAATTTTGGTTAAAGTCGGTTTAGCGGTTTTTGAGTTATCTTGTTACAGACGGACAGACGGACAGACGGACAGACGGACAGACGGACAGACGGACAGACAGACAGACACCATGAAAATATTTTGTATTAAGGTCATTTATGACCCAAATAACTCATTTTGAGTGAAATTAAAAAAACTTTTTTTTGACGATCTTAATAGCCTACCATACCTGTTGGTATGGTCGCTAAAAATATTGTGCTGGGTTGGCGTTGGTTTCTATGTAATTTGACAAATAAATAAAACTGTCTCTTTAGTTGTCAGTTTTGAGTCAATATTTTTTAATTCCCTTTCGTGTCGATTGCTGATTGGAATTGTCAAAATGAAATAAGTAAATTACCAACAGATATTCAGGGTGAGGCGACAAACGCCATATCCAAACTACTTCCATTTAAATCCCGAATAACTTATGAAAAGGAATACAAAAATTTTCAAAAATGAAAGCAATTAAAAAACGTGCGAAAAGAAATAAAGTTTTTAACCTATCCACACCTATCCTCGCTGTTAAAGTATCATTTAATCTACCCTTGCGGTTAAAGTCCTATTTTATCTACTGTTTTTGATAGATATGAGGCAATTTTAACAGTTGCTATGGAAAAAAAATATTAAGTATGTAATTTTAGTCAACAATTCAATTAAATGAAATTGAACACTTCATCCTCAGAAATATTTCATGTTTTTTAAATTCATATTTAGATTTTTAGCATTGGATGATAGAATGGAAAACATGAATTACAATGAAACTACGATGTAATATACATTTTCTGGCATAGTATGGATTTTCCTACATTGTCGGTCAGTGACCTCAATAATTGATTCATTTGACGACCTTGCCTGTATACTACGTGCGTTTATTTTGAATCTAAAATGTTATGTTTTTTAGTTTCTTTATTCGTCAAAACAAAGCTCTTTATCTGTTGAAAACGAGAGGAAATGCCAAAAGTCGCACTAATGATGGGGTCATTTTATTTTCGTAACATTTCCCAGCAATTGATTTAAATTTGGTTTGGAGATCTGAGAAATAACTTTTCTGGATATTTCAAAGTGCTTACGTGAAAAAGGCTTTGTTCTGTAAATGTTGGCTTGTAACATCTAGTTTGTCTTTATTTTCAAGCTATAGCGGTCTGCATGTAATTAAAAAAAAGAAATTACCTGCTTTGTCTTTTTATTTTTGAATATATATTTTTTTCTGTTTAAGTTTGGTTTGTTTGTAACAAAAAACACTAATAGGTATATGCATCAGTACTGAAAAAAAAATCGAAATAAAAATGAAATTTCTATACCCTGTATCTCCGAAACTAAGCATTTTAGGACATACGTTTATACGAACTTTTTTACTTATTTTTATCAGCAGAATAATAATTAACATAACGTTCACGTCATAATCATTTTATAATAAAAATGACTAAATGATACATAGGGTGTTCATATACAGGATGGCCCATCGAAAACGTTCCGCAAGGCATAACGGCCAGGGTAATTTTTTTTCAGAAAAATCAAAGACATGTCAATTTTGTTTGTGAGGGGGACAACTTTTGCCCGAATAATGATTGCAAAATCTTCAACCCTCTAAGCGGGGGTGTCATCCCCCAATTTTTTTCAAATGGGAAGGGGGATCAAGTGGTACCGCAATGAAAAGGGCTTTCTATTCTCTATACTTTCCGGCTTCGTTTTTGAAAATCGGTCGAGTCATTGAGAAAATATGAAGGATTGAAATTTGAAAAGTTTATATTTAAACATTTATCAGAGTAAATGATAAGGATAAATTCCTTCGACCAATTTATTGCTGTTTTTTCTTATTATTTCTAGATGTTTACGCATTTTTTCACTTGCAACAAGGTTGAACGATCAGGTGCGGTAATTGCTAGATAGCTGTTCTGTGACTTATACGTTTAAGTTCTTCTCAATATCGTTAAATTTTTTAACAATTATTATGGTATACTCACTTGCAGAAAAAGTGGAAATAATCGAACTTTATTTTAAAAATAATGAATGTGGCAATCGGGTTGTGCAGATATATTCACTGAACGCCATCCTGACAACCACCTTTATGGCAAAATTGTTCGCGAGTTAGTAGCAAAATTTCGCGAAACTGGTTCCATTAGAATGAAAAGAGGCAGAGGGAAAATCCTGTAGTAAATAAAGCTATGGAGGTATTCGTATTGGGCCAAGTTGCCATGGATAGTACGCTGAGTACAAGAAAATTAGCCAATGAGACCGGCGTGAATCGTACAAGTGTTCAAAGGATATTAAAAAAACGCAAGTTCCACCTGTACAAAATTCAGTTGGTACAAGAACTCAACGAAGACGATTTTGATCGTCGGTTGCAATTTTGTGAAACTATGAGTGAACAAGTGGCGAATGATAATAATTTCCTATTTAATGTGTGTTTTTTGGATGAGTGTACTTTCTTTTTGAATGGTGTAGTAGTTAATCGGCACAATTGTCGGTACTGGGCTGAAGACAACCCCAGGGTTTTTCACGAGGTGCACACACAAAACCCTCAGAAATTGAACGTGTGGGCTGGTATTTTTGGAAATTCTATTGTGGGTCAGTTTAACAATATTGAGAAGAACTTCAACGCACAAGACACAGAACAGCTATCTAGCAACTACACCGCACCTGATTGTTTATCCCTGTGGCAAATGAAAAAATGCGTAAACATCTAGAAATAATAAGAAAAAACCTCATATTGGTCGAAGGAATTTATCCTTATCATTTACTCTGATAAACAAATAAACTTTTCAAATTTGTATCCTTCATATTTCCTCAATGACTCGACCGATTTTCAAAAACGAGGCGGGGAAATATAGATAATAGAAAGCTCTTTTCATTGCGGCGCCACTTGAACCCCCTTTCCATTTGAAAAAAGTTGGGGGATGACACCCCCGCTCAGAGGGTTGAAGATTTCGCAATCATTTTTGGGGCAAAAGTTGTCCCCCTCACAAACAAAATCGACGTTTTTTTGGATTTTTTGAAAAAAGAATACCTTAGCCGTTATGTCTTGCGGAACGTTTTCGATGGGCCACCCTGTATTATAAAATATCAATATGAGTAAAATGTTTCCTGTGTTCTGCACTAACAAAATAATGCGTAGTTATCTTCTTCCTTTAATATGTAGGTATATTTTTTTTCCTTAAAGCTTCGTATTCTGTATAAACAGCGTCCAGTTGGCTTAGAAATGACGATCCGTGATATTTCCATGATATTTCCCATATAATTTTTCATATAAAATGACAGCGATCTTCATTTCAAAGTCATCGCTGACGCCCTGCTGACGCCTTTTTTAATTACATTGTACATTTGTACATTATGATTTATGATCGAAGAAAAAAAAGGCTATGAAATGAAGATTGCTGTTATTTTATATGTAAAATTATATAGGGAATGTCATCGATGTTCATATCGAAAGCTAACTGGACGCCGTTTTTTTTTCGATCACAGACTATTGTTTATTTTAAAATAAATAATGAAATAAATAAAGTCCCTCAAATTGTACTCAAATAAATTATACACCACCACCACACCCTATACGACAAGTGCCTATATTAAAAAATTACAGTTTTCTGTCAAAGATGCCTTTTCGGTTTATCTTTATGAAACAATTAAAATATTAATATTATTTGAAGACTAATATAACCCTTGTTGTATTTTATATCATTCTCAAAGAAAGGTACTTTTAAAAATCACCAATAACTTTAATTTCCCCCATTTTATATATGATCCTCATATGATCCTCCTATAACAAAACCAATATGCCCTTCAGATGACATTGATAACTGTAGAAATTCTGAAAACTGTCAGTTCCCGGTTTAGTGAACAAATTTTTGCGAAATATTCTAAAAGAATGGCTTTTAATAAATTGTCTATCGATTCCTTAGATCTAAATGGAAAAAGGGTATTAATAAGGTATACATTATCTGTGATATAACTTTAATAGTCGTATACATAACCTAACTTTTTTTAAACTATTTTCGTAATTTTGATCTTTTAAAATAAAATATTTCTTTTTTAGAGTTGATTTTAACGTTCCTCTTAAAGATGGCAAAATTACCAATAATCAACGTATTGTAGCTGCCCTTGATACTGTAAAATATGCCCTAGATAAGAATGCAAAAAGTGTTGTTTTGTGTTCACATTTGGGAAGGCCTGATGGCAACCCGAATCCCAAATATACTTTAGCTCCTGTTGCTGAAGAACTGAAGACATTACTAAACAAGTATTTATAATTTATATAATAATATATATTAATAGCAAAATAATAAATTATTTTGCTATTAAATGGCTAATGTATTTAATAAAAACAATTGTGATATCAGTTACTCTATATGTAATTAAAAAGTATTTTTCTTGTTTTTAAGACCAATTCAGTTCCTATCAGATTGTGTTGGATCTGAAGTGGAAAACAAATGTGCAGATCCAGCACCAGGCTCGGTAATTTTGCTTGAAAACTTACGTTACCATGTTGAAGAAGAAGGTAGATTTTATTATTAAAATGATGTATTTATTTTTTGATCTGTATGTATTTTTTAAAGGAAAGGGTGTTGATGCCTCCGGTAACAAAATTAAAGCTGACCCTGCCAAAGTAAAAGCATTTCGTGAGAGTTTAAGAAAGTTGGCTGATGTCTATGTTAATGATGCTTTCGGAACTGCTCACAGGGCACATTCTTCTATGTTAGGAGAAGGTTTCTTAAATTGTTATATTTCTTTAGTTTGTATGTATCTAATAAAACTTTTATTTAGGCTTTGATCAAAGGGCATCTGGGTTCTTGCTTAAAAAGGAATTACAATATTTTGCAAAAGCTTTAGATAACCCTGAAAGGTAATGCTATCGAATATTAAAAACTCAATCTAATATTGTGTGTTATTATTTATCTGTAGACCATTCCTGGCTATTTTGGGAGGTGCAAAAGTTGCAGATAAAATTCAACTTATTGACAACCTTTTAGACAAAGTTAATGAAATGATTATTGGTGGCGGTATGGCATACACTTTTGTAAAAGTACTTAAAGGAGTAAATGTAAGTATTTAAGTAATAAAAACATTATCTGTATACATATATTAATTAGTATAAAACTGGCATCTGGATAAAATGATAATGTAATATGTATACTGTATAAAGTGTAATATTACATAAAAAGTAAGCATACTGTATGTAATATACATATTGTATAAAAAATGTAAAGGGATGCTTTTTTGTATGACATTTTAAAAATAAACTCAAGATTATGACATATTCTAAAAGTAATTACAAACATGATACCTACTTTTGTAATATTCGTATTGTATTACAAAAAGTTTAAAGTAATTGATGGTATTGTTCTATTTGTTTCTTATGGATTATTGCTATATAAAGTGTGTTCAACAAGCCAGGAAAGATTTTCATAGATGACATTCAAAAAATTTCAGAAAATACTATTGTACTTGAAAATATTTCTATTACTTGAGAAAAGCTCTGGTTCGGTAGATTATAGGCTTGGTGCATTTCAGTTGATTTCAACAAATTCCGACCGCAGCGCACTCTACGGCAGAGATCAGAAATTGTCAATAAATAGTTCACGCCGCCGTCATGTCGATCGCATTAAAGTAATATTGAAATCGGGGTTCTGTCGTAATATTTAAGTATTTTAGTTTTTTTCTAGTGTAGTTATTGAGACTATAAAACACTTAGGTACTAGGTTTGTGTGATGTAACGCTGTTTCGGGTAGTAAAAAATAAATGAAAAAGAATTCGAACTAGGCGTCTTGTTGTATTGTGACAATTTCAAATGTTAATAAAATTGCCCAAAAAAATGTTAACGCGTAAAGGAGAGCGTAATTAAGGCGTTGTTGGGTGCAATAACATTCAATAACTCAACTTTCCCGGATATTCAACTCTCCCGAAACAACATTTTATAGCTTCATAGTTTCTCACACCAATTTGATGAAAAGCAAAAACGGATTCAAGCAGTTCGACGAAACAAGTGAGTAAACAAAGTGCTCGTTACATAATCAAAAAATTAAGTAGACATATACTATGAGGGGATGAAATATAATTTGTGTGCAATATTAAGGTATACTTTTTTAATCAACTAGTGATTAGCACACTCTACTCGATCTAGTATATTAATGTAAATATTATATCTTGTAAATTAATAGTTAACGTAAGTAAATATATATTAGTAAAAGTAACATTTATTTTTAGATGCCTTTTATTGAACGCATTTAAACTCTAAATTTAAAGCCGTAAACATTAACAAATAGACAAAACATTTATTTTTAGATGCCTTTTATTGAACGCATTTAAACTCTAAATTTAAAGCCGTAAACATTAACAAATAGACAAGGACGTATATTCCTTTAAGGATAGTTTCTTTATCTTCATGTGTTGTATATGCGTTACATTCTCCATCGGTATTTTCTGCTTTACTCAGGGCAAAACAAGTGGAACTTTTTCTTTTCATCGTTCTAATATTTTGTCTTTTTTCGATTACTTCTTTTAATAGCACCGAATCTACAAAATAATTCAGATTTTCCAATGGTTTCAAAGGAGGGAGATCGCTGAAGATCGATTTCAGGTTTTGTGATGTGTTTTGTTTGAGGATCTTCTTCAAACTTTCACGTTTGCTTACTAGGAGGTCTTTGCTTCGTGATTTTTCAACTTGTAGAATCGTATCTTCGTTGTATGCACCACAGGCTTCCTAAAACAAAGGTTTAGTGTTTGGTGAAAATACATTCACCGGCAAAAAAAACGGCCATTAAAAACTAGTCCCAATTTAAAAGTTGGATTTCTCGCGAACCACTCATTAGATTTTGATGATTTTTTTTTAAGTTGTAAATTAATTCCCCTTCCTAATGGATGCTACGTCAGAAATTTTTATTCCGAATTTATTTTGAGCATATGCAGGGCACACCAATAAGACGCAGTTTTTTGCCCGAACTTTGTAACACCCTGTAGGGTGCAGCGACTGTAGTAGCTATTGCTAAATCAAATCACGTTGTGGTAAATCATCGTTTGTGAGCATTTTGTTTTTTTAATCACGATATTATCTCTGTTTGTATTGGAGATACGCTGCTTTAAAACGAACGCCTCGAAAAAAGCTTTAGTCCATTGCTCAATATCCCAATTCACATGTAAACGCGCAAACTGAAGACGTGCTCGACGATGTCTTGGAAATAGCTTTGAAATAGCTATTCAGGACAATAAAACGGTCGTCAATAATTGCATTTGTCTTCCGTTTTCTTCCGGAACCCACTCGCCTGGTGAAATTTCCCGTTTCAATATACCGATTCCAGGCATTCTGGACGGTTGTTCGAGGTATACCCAGGGTATCGCACACATAACGTTGACTTCGGCCATCCTCAATTAAAGCCACAATACGAGCAACATCCGTTACAGACAATGCAATTTTTTAATTTGACAACCGTTTTCGCCTATGTCGCTTCGCCTTGATTATTTATACATAAAACTTTCTGCCGCGAAGCATTTTTCCGAGACGTTCGTTTTAAAGCAGCGTATCTTCAATACAAACAGAGATAATGTGATTAAAAAAACCAAATGCTCAAGAAAGATGAGGCTACAATGTGATTTGATTTAGCAATAGCTACTACAGCTGCTGCACTCTACAGGGTGTTACAAAGTACGGACAAAAACTTCGTCTTATTGTTGTGCTCTGTATATGCTCAAAATAAATTCGGAATAAAAATTTCTGACGTAACATCCGTTAAGAAAAAATTAATTTACAATTTAAAAAAAATCATCAAAATCTAATGAGTGGTTCGCGAGAAATCCAACTTTGAAATTGGGACTAGTTTTTAGTGGCCGGTGAGTTTATATCTTTACCAATAACTTACTTTTAAAGGAGATGTCTTGCTTTCAGCATTATAATTGTCATAGAACACCTTTATATTGCCGGTTATCGCTCCTTCCGATACTTGACTATTCCTAAAGAGTTCCACGACGTTTTTCTTATATTCGTTTTCGTTTTCTTGAACGTTCAGAGGTATTTGACTATCAATTAACATCTATTAAAACAGAAAAATAAAGTGCCAAATTAGACTTTGACATTTAATTAAAATTTTACTTTTTTATACCTGTGTTTTTTCTAAGGAGAATTGGTCGCTTATTCCGAATGTACTTTGGTACGACTCATCTGAAGATAAATTATATATATTAGTTTCGACTTCTGTATCCAACGAAGTGTTTATTTCGCGATCAACTTTGACAACTTTTTTTTTTCTTTCTGTAAAATATAAAATAAAAATAAATTTTACCATAATAATAGTCACGATTTATTTAATTTTTATAATTTTAAGCAGACTTGAATATAGATTAAATTAAGTTAAATATAATACATATATTCGCTATCGAATCTTTTGAATTCAATTGCTGTCCTCCATTCGCGAACTTCGAGTTCCGGGCTTTACGCCCTGGGGCTACTCGAGAACGGTTCTGAAAGGAGCTGTGCGCGATAGCCTCATGCCGCCATATGACGCGGAACAGTTCTGGAACTTTATGACTCAAATGAATGGAGTGAGAGTATCGCGTTCTTGAACAGTTCAGAGCTGCTCAACTGCGTGAAAGGAGGACAGCAATTGTTGCCAACCATGGAGATATGCGGCGCCGCACCGGGCTAACTAACTGGAATTTAAATTGCGCTGGGGAATCATTGGGTAGCTCTGCTTTAAATAATGTCCGTTGTTGCATTTATTTATTTATTTTCTGACATTGTTATTTGTTTTGACACTTTAGTTTTGTATTACTAGTTTTTGTTTAAATAAATAGAGTGTTTTGATACATCAAACTTAAACATGTTTACTAGCAGACCTTGCAGTCGAACATTGTTCTTTTTAGAACCTCTTTTAATGCGAAGTGTACAAGATAGCTTAATAGCCATAAAAAACTCATCGCAACTTTATTAGAGTATTTTGAACGGGAAAGCGGTAGTAATGGTCCTTTTTGTCCCTAAGTGCTGTTAAGGAGGTGAGTTTTGTTGATGTAAATAATAACTGTTTATATATTTATAATTAATTTATTTTTGTTTCCTAAAATATTTTGGTTAAAAGAAACAAAATAAAAGTGGGCAACGCTGTGCCGGTCAAGCTTAATCACGTGACTAAAAGTTTATTTGGTATAAACTGTCCATATTTCTTTTTCAAAATTTTATTTAAGTACGTTTATTGAAATGTAAATAAATATTAGAATTTTATAACAATAAATAAAAAAATAAATAATAAATATTTATGTACAAATACAAAATTGGATATCATGCAATTTTTTCTATACTTTCGTTCCTTTTTTGTATAAATTTACATATTCTAAGATACGGATAGTTGAAAATACATCTAAAGTATAGTCTGTTCAGTTTTAAAAAATTATAAAGTAGATTTTTTTTTGTAATTTTTTGGAAGTCGTCAGTTGAAATACTAAATTCTCTCGCTGGTCAGACTATAACCTATATTATATAGATCTTCTCATGTCTCATGTAACTTTCCTCAATATGGAGAAATATGATCCTATAGTTCATATCAAATAAACTTTGAGTCACGTGATTAAGCTTGATCGGCACAGCGTTTCCCACTTTTACATATTTTCTTTTAATCAAAATATTTTAGGAAACAAAAATAACTTGGTTAAACAGTTATTATTTACATCAACAAAACTCACCTTCTTAACAGTACTTGAAGGATATAAAGGGCCATTGCTACCGCTTTCCCGTTCAGAATATTCTAATAAAGTTACGATGAGCTTTTTACGACTATTAAGCTATCTTGTACATTTCCCACTAAAAGAGGTTCTAAAAAGAACAATGTTCCAGTTCATGGTCTGCTAGTAAAAAAAATGAAGCTTAAACTATCACAACACAATTCATTTGAACCAAAAACTCGTAATACAAAACTAAAGTGTCAAAACGAATGACAATGTCAGGAAATAAACAAATAAATGTGGCATCTTGACATTTTTTACAGAGCTACCAACTGAAACCCTAGCGTGAAATTTAAATTCCAGTTAGTTAGCCCGGCGTCGAATACGGTCGTGGTTGGCAACAATGAATTTAAAAATTGCGGTCTCGATTACGTAATTAAAAGTTTAATTAGTATGTAATATACAGGGTGGCGCACCTCATGTGCCTCGGTTGATTATACGAAAACGGAAAGATGTAGAAACAAAATATTTTTTGGGTATATGTGGGGAGACAATGTGCACAATTTAAAATTATTTTGAAATATACAGGGTGTTTCAGAACTAAGATCCATACCAAAGTTATATTTTTTCTTATGGAACACCCGGTATTTTATTTCATTTTTGGATTCCTGGGCTCAAAAAAGGCATTTATTATAAGGGTTAAATATGTTTAACATGTTTGGTTTTTGAGATATTTAAAGATATTTAAATTTGCATGCTACTATAGAATAGATTATTAACACCCTGTACATTACTTTTCAGAATTAATTCTTGTGCTGAGTTTAAAGGTAAAGAAATAAACTTTACTGAAAAATGGCATTGCTTCCTTAAATTTATACAGGGGTATCAAAAATTGCTGATCTATTTTAAGGATTTATTTTATATAAAAACTTCGTTATTTCAAATGCAACACCCTGTATTTTTTAAAACAAACCGAAGCAGATTCAAATGCTCTTTCAAACTATATTAGGGTTTCCTATACCTATCTAGCTCAGATTTTGAATAAAAAGCGATTTTTAAATAAAATTGCAATCAAGATGACTGCTGTCGCTATGGCAATTTTCTAGTGACAGTTAGTAACTATTTTCAAAGTGGACATTAGTTTATGGACATTATTATTTATAATTTATAACAGTCTACTTAGATTTACCTACAATAGTTTAATAAATAAGTATTCATTATTTTATCAAGAAAAATAAAGCATTATCAGCTGGCGGAACGAATGGATATGTTTCTAGTGATTTTATTTTGTGGGGAAAATTGCTTCTTGGCCTCAAGAGCTTATGCTCAAAGGTATCCAAAAATAGGAATCTTCCTGATAAGCGTTCCTTTGAAAAACTACTTGCCCTATTTCGCAGAGCTGGTAATGTGGTTTATAAAAAAAACCTGTTAGAGGCAGAAACCTGTCGTTGGAAGTGAAGAAAATGAATTTGCTGTAATTGTCTCTTTTATATAAAATCCATATATCTACAAGTCATCGTAGAATAAATCAAAGAACTACTTCTTCGTTCTTCTTGATAGAATAATAAATACATATTTAATATAATATAATTTATTAAACTATTGTAGGTAAATTAAATAAAATTAAACTGGTAAAAATTTAAATAAGTCCAGAATCTAATTTCGATTTTGAAAATAGCTACTAACTGTCAATAAAAAAACTGTCATGACGACACTAGCCCTCTTGGTTGCCATTTTATTGAAAAATTGCTCTTTATTCAAAATCTGAGCTAGATAGGTATAGGAAACCCTAATATAGTTTGAAAGAGCATTTGAATCTGCTTCGATTTATTATAGAAAATGCAGGGTGTTGTATTTGAAATAACGAAGTTTTTATGTAAAATAAATCCTTAAATAAATCAGCAATTTTTCATACCCCTGTATAAATTTAAGGAAGTAATAACCTTTTCCAGTAAAGTTTATTTCTTTATCTTTAAACTCAGCACAAGAATTAATTCTGAAAAGTAATGTACAGGGTGTTAATAATCTATTCTATAGCAGCATGCAAATTTAAATATCTTTAAATATCTCAAAAACCAAAGATATTAAACATATTTAACCCTTATAATAAATTCCTTTTTTGGGCCCACGAATCCAAAAATGAAATAAAATACTGGGTGTTCCATAAGAAAAAATATAACTTTGGTATGGCTCTTAGTTCTGAAACACCCTGTATATTTCAAAATAATTTTAAATTGTGCACATTGCCTCCCCACATATACCCATAAAATATTTTGTTTCTACATCTTTCCGTTTTCGTATAATCAACCGAGGCAAATGAGATGCGCCACCCTGTATACAAATTGCAGATGATATTGAATTAAAATAATTTGGTATAAGTAATTAATAATAGATTTGGACTAAATTCAGATTTTTCTTAATATATTTTGAAAATCAGAATATTTTTAATACTATCTTTAACGCGACGTATTTCACATCACAATTTTGTAATTTTTGGTTGAGCCAAAACGTTCCAATAATGTCAGATTTAATGTTGAAACAAGGAATAGTTACGTGATAGGAGAACCATACAGTTAAATACAAAAGAGTGTAATAATATCCACTTCTTACCATTTATGGTCAATTCAGTATCCGACAAAACCTTATTTGTACTATGAAAGGGACATGCCGTTGCCTGCGTTTCTTTATTTTCTTTTTGTAAAAGAAAGCTCACTTTTTGTTTGCTTTTGGTAGTAGGAATAATATTAGAATGAGTCGAAGACTTCTTCAGACAACTCGATATCCTTTTTGGAACATCATTTACTATATGAATCTGGGCAAAGTTGTAAAGTATTATGAAGCAAAACGTGACGGCATCTTCGACTACAAAGGCAGTTGGACAAATTCTAGAATTAAAGTACGTTTATCTACATATGTGCTGAATTCATAATTAGATCATATTCCTTGGGACCTAAAAAACAATATTTTATTAATGTTTATAGCCGTTACATGTATATTGTTACTACATACCATTGTGTGTTTTAAGTCCCAGGAATTATTTGGCAAATTCAATCTGACTTAAGCGCAAGTTAAACAAAATTATATAAAATATGCTTTTATTTTCCAAAAAACTGTTTAACTGTTTATAACATGTTTTATTTTTAAGTATTACGAATTGACATTATTTATTGGTTTGATGCAAAGCACGTTACTATTTAGTATTACCTATAAAAATACACTTCCACAGGGCGTTCTTCTTTAAAATCAGCAAGACTATCTAAGAAACTCAGTACATTGTAATAGGAGGGACTTTTGCCCAACTGTAGAGATTTTGGACTTTCCTTTTTATCAGAGCATGTTTTTCTGTGGTCTTTGACGGCATGCATAAATGGCGTTAGGAACGAATCACTTCTTTTGACTTCAGGATCTCTTTTATCTTTAAATACTGATATTGAAGGATTTGCCAAAACAAGTTCCCCTGTAAAAATCTACGAAAAATATGGTAATATTAGTAAATTATTTAATTGCTCTATATAAAAAGAACCTCGTCTTCAAACTCATCAAGTTGATTATAAACATCCTCAACTCTACGAATAATTCTTGTTACATTAGTGTAAAAATCATCTTTATTATTTATTTCATCGGATTCCTTCCGATTCAGGTCTTGAATCTCATCATTTAAGCATTTATTTATATTTAAAATAGTGTTTTTAGCATTTTTTAAAACGTTGTTGTTATATTCCTCGGTTTCACATTTATTTTCCGAGTTTCCTGATTCTATATCATTTGTCGACTTATTCGGCGATGGATAATTAGTTGTGGAGACGATTAGATTTTTATTTTTATTTTCTTCAAGTTTTTCTTCTTCATCATCCATAATTTTGCATCTCCTGTTTTCTTGAGGTGATGCTTGGGGTGTAAAGTATTGAGTGTCTTTTTCATTTTTAATTTTTTCTTCAAGTTCTTCTTCTTCATGTTTTTCTTCTTCATCGTCCATAATTTTGCATCTCCTGTTTTCTAGAGGTGATGTTTGGGGCGTAATATATTGAGTGTCTTTTTCTTCTTTAACTTTTTCTTCTTTATGTTTTTCTTCTTCATCATCCATAATTTTGCATCTCCTATTTTCTAGAGGTGATGTTTGGGGCGTAAAATATTGAGTGTCTGTATTAGTAACCATATCTATAGAAGTTTCTGAAATGTGTTCATTTCTTTCTTTAATATCTGGCATAGAAGTAGATTGTGTAATGGTTTCTGCCATACAAAGATTTCCTGAAAGTAAAGGTTTTTTTGTCATGCATTTTAACTTTTTTTAACATTTTACTTACCCTCTTTTTCTTGAGAGTTAGAGATGTTATTTTTTAGTTTAGCGTGATCTTTATCAATTTGTTTTATCATCTCCATATCGTTTTGAAAGACCAGTATTTGATTATCAAAGTCACCGTGACTGAATATATCTGTAGAATGTGAGCTCTTTTGTATATTCGAGCCGCTATTATTATTTCCGGATTCTGGATTTTCCATATCATGTTCTACTAGTGCTAGGTTAATTATGGTTTCTATAGGTTTAATGGTTTTGTCGTTTTCGTCTTCAACAGATTTATCTGATCCAACATTAGTTCCTTTTTTTCTTTCTGTAAATGTGGCAATAGCCTCTTTTTGAATATTGTCACACCCCGCATCTATATACTCAGGAGTTATAACTTCATAATTTTCAGATTGGGAGCCCTTTGGTGTGTTCGGTAGTGACGATTTTGTAGTAAAGAGCAAAGTATTTTTAGATCTTCGATTTGGCGATATGCCAGTGACTGTAAACTTCTCTTCGCCTGAGGCAGATGTAGAACTAAAAATAAACCGAACACTTACAATTCTGAGGTTTTTATAAATTTTACTTTTTACCTGAAGCATACTTGATTCATATTGTTTGTGCTGACGTTATTCGATTTCAAAAAATTTGTCGGCAATTTTTTGTCTCTTAAGCTATTTTTACTACTTCTTCCAGAACCTATTCCGGGAGATTCCAATATATTGTCTAATCGTTTAAACAACTAAAAATTAGGAAACCACATAAATATGAACATAAATTCAAGACACCAATTTATTCTTTTACTTCTTCTGATATTCTCTCTATTTCTTCATTATATTCCTCCACTTTATAAAGATTTTTGGCAAAACCCTTTTCAGCATTCTTTTTAGATTCTGTCGATTTCATGAAGCTCAATACTGTGGTTATTTCTTTTTCCATTTCTTCAAACGCTTCCATGCTTCCAGTCGTAACTGGTCTGAAGAATATTATTTTATATTCATTTTGATTTACTACGAAATTGGATTCTTACTTGGAAATTATATCAACCATTTTCTTTTCAATTACCTCAATTGCCTTTTGTATGTTGTTTTGAATGTTATCATTTTTCTGTTTCAAGTCATGAAGTTTTTGTAACATTAATTTCTGCCTAGTTTCATTTGCAATTTCTATAATTTATATTTTATTAATATATAAGAGATAAATACAATTCTAAAGTAAAATACTTACTTGGTAAAGCATATTTGGGAACGGTTGCCTTATAAACTTCAGGTTGTTTCTCAATAAAACTTATTAGTTTTTGCCCTGAAGATTTTCCATATTTATTCTCCCATATTTTTCTTTGAGTATTATCGTTTTTATTCTTTGATTTTTCTTCCTTTGTTACAATTTTTGAGAATTTTTGTTTGGGTATGATTTCTACATTATTATCTCTACGTTCTAAAAATTCAAAAATTATACAGAAGATAGAGTTTAAGTGCTAGTTAAGAAATGACTAAGTCAAAATAGTTCATTGTTTTAAATTTGTTACTAATATTTTGTTGAACATTGTTACAAGTATTGTAATGTCTTTTAAATTTTAAAGTCTGTGGTTGGTTCCTTGTGAAACATCATTGAAATATTAGTATCTTAATAAAACACGCTTTTAGATGTATCAAAATTTAATGAGAGTAACTTCATCTCTACATATGTTTCGGCTTGTTAGACCTTTTTTCAAGAGTTTTAAGAAACTCTAAAAAAAGACCTAACAAGCCGAAACATATATAGAGATAAAGGTACTCTCATTAAATTTTAATACATCTATAAAAGCCGAGTTTAATTAAAATACTAATATGTTGTAAATTTATTTAATTAATATTTATAAATACCACTTCTATTTATCGATGCATTATTCCATAATGGGGGAACAAGAGGATGCGGCCAATTATCTGGAGAGGGAGTATTATACGATTTTGGTTGCCTGTAATAAATAAAAAAATCAGTTCATTCATTTTTTTTATAGGAGATTATTTTTAGCTTACTGTTTTTGATGGTCTTTTAAAGAAGAAATGTCCATGTCCTTCTGTTTTACTATGCCCTTGGAGCTATATTTTTTGTCAATCGGTTTAACTATGGGTTTAGGCGTTGCTGCTTGGGTACAATATTTTGCGAAATCTATTTAAACATTTAAATAATATTAACCATTTTTGTTAGCTGGTTCTAAATTGATCCGATTTGTGTGATAATGAAATCTGTTCAGTGACTGACACAATATAACTGTTACTTATTCTTGTTTACAAGCTAGTAGCAGTAAATATTTTACTGTTACTTAGGTGGGTAAAACTGTTATTTTTATCCTTTTTATGTAATAATTCGACATGTTACTGTTATTCAAAAATAACAGTCTGATTTATTATTAACAACTGTAGAGTAGTCGCTGTCGGTAGAGCGATATTTTTATATCTGTTATTTTTTGGAACTGCTGTAAGCTTGGTAAAACTTCGTAGCGCGGCTATGGCAACTGCAGCAGTCCAATGACTGAGATCTACCACAGTCTTGGAAAACACACTACAATTTTCCAAGCTGAGCTTTATGCTATTGAAACCTGTATGCAACTGCTGGTAGAACAGCAATACACCGGGAAAACAATAAGCATATTTTCGGATAGTCAAGCCGTGTTGAAAGCACTTGAGGCAACGAAAGACACTACTCAATATATTAGGAGATAGGAACAAGTGTCGTTAATATGCTGATTCCTTCGCCAAAACTGGTGCAGATTCGCCATTCGTGGGTCCAGAAGCGACACTTACTGTTCCAAAAAATCTTCCAGGAGACAGGCTCTGCGAAATGGGTTAGGGGTGCGACGTTTCGGGACTGGAATGACAGTCCCGAAATGGAACATGCCTAGAAAATCCTAGCAGGGCCATTCAAACGTAGAACAGGAGAACTCTTAAAGGCTGGTAGGAATGGAGCGCGTACGCTCACTGCGACTGCAGTATACACAGGCCACTGCTAGCTGCGATCACACCTACAGAGGATGGGACTGGTGGAGGACGCCGAATGCCGACTCTGTATGGAAGATGACGAAACAATGAAGCACATTATGTGTATCTGCCCTGCTGGGGGCAGGACGACCTAGCAGACATATGGTCTGGAGACCTAGGAGACCTAAGGCTGAGTCTTGAGGGTGAACTTTCATGCTCTTTTTCTATTAAAGAGCTTGAAGAAACTGAGCCACTAAAGGCCCTCGCGGCCGCAGTCGCGACTCCCACTTGGTCCCACTTGCGACTCATTCTTAGTGAACGCGAATACGAATACGAAATGCCAATTTTACCATCACGAGGCAACACCGTCGAAGCAAAGGAAATTTGTGACTGGTATTTTTAGGAAGCAACAACAGTTGAAAACTTAACTTAGTTCTAAATATATAAGATGTATAAGATAACAGATCGCTATTTGATTTAAAAATCTTGCATCATCGCGAATATCTGTTGGAATTCTAGAATATTTGTCGTCTTTTAATTGCACTTACTTTTAGGAGACCAAGAACTGTTGTGTGTACTATTCGAACAATCTAAACGGTGATGTTGTCGCGCAGTAGCCAATCTGATTTCTTTGTCTATTCTTCTTAATATTGGGTCGTACACTACCTTGAGTGCTAGTGAAAAAGAATCATTTAGTCTATAATAATTATATTGATTTATATAAAACAACCTTTAGTTTTTTTCCCGCATTCTTTCCATTCTGCCTTCTTAATGTGATCTTTACATTCTTTCATTGGCAGTAACGGTAATTTTTGAGCAAATTCTTCCACTTTCGGAGGTTTTCTCATATTGTCATAATAAACATGTACTATAAAAATATATACGTTCTTACAAACATATTTTTTGTGTAAGCTGCGTTATTTTACCTGGCATAACTGTGAACACGTTCGCTTTTTTTATATGGTCGCTATCTCCTGAATAGATATATTTAGATAACTTTTCTATAATCTCTTTATCTCCACTATTCTTAATATATTCTTGGTCTTGTTGCTTCTAGGTAAGGAAATTTTGTTTTAGTAATTTGAATAGCATACATGCAGATAAATACAGTACAACCTCTTTAATCGGAAAACATGTTAATGGCAACATTCAATAATCGGATTATCCCAATTGGTATGTTATAGTCGGAACGGTTCGGGTAGCTTCAAAACTTTGTGAAAATGTTAGATAATGTGGGAGATGGTTATGGAGATGTATTTTTTTTCTGTATAAAATGGTAGATTATTTCTTTTGATTTTTAATATTTTTACAGGATAAGATTTTATATTAAAAAAAAAACAGGCGGTCATTTCTTTAATGAGAATTGTGTATCTTGGTTATGTTTCTTCTTCTGTATTTTGGTTGATTTTAATATGTATTATTAAAACCGATAAAATATTTTTTTTGGCACAATACAACTTATTCACCATATATGACACGGAGTATTGTAGCTAAACTATTGATTTTTACAAATTTTAAGATTTGGGTTTGTTGAAGGACTATTAGAGCTACAATTTAAAAATACAAAAATATACATACCGGGTGTTGCATCGTCGAGCGGGACATAGGAAATCCCATGTAAATTTCAATGGGGTCAATTATTGGCTTTCCTAATTATTTTAGAGAATAATTCTATTTAGGTTTATTGAAGAGCACTAAAACCCACATTCAAAAGAATAACTTTAGATATTTTTGATTAGCCCGTTTACGAGTTATCGCCGATTTCTTTTTAAATATTTCTCCTTTCTTATGGCCCTGTATTTACTTATGAGCACCAGTCAAGGTAAAAGATAACTGCCAAATGAAGTTGTCATTTCAGAAATTTATCTATATATATTATTATTATTAAAAACTCATACCTACATCGAAAATATTAGCCAAGAATTACACTACCGAAGAAAAAGTATTGATGATTAAATGGTATTACCAAGGAAATAGTTATCAAAAGGTGTCGAATATGTTTGCTGCTCTGTATCCGAATAGACCGATACCTGGAAAATCGACAATCGTAAGGAATATCCAGAGATTTGAGACCAAAGGTACCTTAATAAATAACTGCAGATGTGAAGCAAGGCAGGAACAAAGAGAAGATTCAAGAAATGATACCGACTTTTTTTTTGATACCGACGGAAGATTTATTGTGCGTGGAAGAGAACGATGGAAAGATCAGCACAAGGAAACTTGAGTTTCAAAAAAACATATGTTCACTGACGAATGCACGTTTACCTTAAATAATGAACCCAATGTTCAAAATTATCGATATTGGAACAAAGAAAACCAACACAGGTTTGTCGAAACAAGGACGCAATATCCACAGAAAGTAAATGTTTGGGCAGGGATATTTGGAGACAATATTATCGGGCCATTATTTCTTACGCGAAATTTAAATGCAGAATATTATTTGGAACTACTCGAAAATCATATTTTACCTGCTTTACATGATGCCGCTAGGGAAAATCAGGAAGTTTGGTATCAAATGGATGGCTGCCCGGCACATAGTACCCTGGCTGTTCGGGAATATTTAGACAATAGTTTTAACGGAAACGTTATTGGCCTAAATCATACAGTAAATTGGCCAGCAATGTCTCCTGATATTTCGCCAAATGATTTCTTTCTCTGGGGCCATTTAAAAAACAGGATATACAAGAATAAAAAATACCCAAATCTAGACGAGTTAAAAAATGCTATTTCTGCCGAATGCAATAGAATTTCAGTTTACCAACTAGCGAATGTAAGAAGAGAATTTTATGATCGCCTGGGTTATTGTCTAGCAGTCGATGGAGGAATATTTGAACATCTTCTTAAATCCTAAATTTCTAACAATTTAATAGTACCTAAATTAATAAGTTATTGAATATTGTAATAATACTATAATTAACCTTGTAATTGATTACTTTATTTTACTTTAATTCATATTAATTTGTATTTATAAATACATCTTTAAGATTTCCGATGTAGGAATGAGTTTTCAGTAATAATAAAGCACTAAATAGGTAAATTTCTGAAATGACAACTTCATTTGACAGTTATCTTTTACCTTGACTGGTGCTCATAAGTAAATACACGGCCATAAGAAAGTAGAAATATTTAAAAAGAAATTGGCGATAACTCGTAAAAGAGCTAATCAAAAATATCTAAAGTTATTCTTTTAAATGTGGGTTTTAGTGCTCTTCAATAAACTTAAATAGAATTATTCTCTAAAATAATTAGGGAAGTCAATAATTGACCCCATTAAAATTTACATGGGATTTCCTATGTCCCGCTCGACGATGTAACACCCGGTATATAAAATATATAAAATAAAAAAAAATATAGAAGTTTAATTTTTTTTATATGGAATACAGTTAACACAACCTTACCGTTTTTGAAATATTTTCAATTTTGCGAAATTGCAATATTCCATGGGTATATTGATAAATGAGGTCTAAATTATAAGAAAATGCATTTTCTACGAACACTGGACGAGATAGTTAAAAAATGGTTTAATACTATTTGATAGACAATTAAATTGTGCATCTGATTCTCGTAAAATATACAAGGTGTTTTATTTAAATTAAATAATTTATTGCCCTTTAAAGCTAGTAACTATTTAATATAAATTTTTAGACACTCTGTATAAGGTAGTATTATTTTTATTATTGCAACACGATATCTGATCAATAAATAAACTCTAGTAAATATTTAGTATTAAAAACTTTGATACCCTTGGAGAAACGAAGCCTTAAAATTTTTACTGCAATTTCATAAAATTGAAAATCTTTCAAAAACGGTAAGGTTTAAGTGTGATAAACTTAATCAAATTTATCTTTATTTCAATCGTAGAATCTAAAAATAGAATAATATACAGGGTGTTTCATTTAAAAAACTACACAATTGATATTTTTTTATTCATTTGGGGAACTCTGTATCTTGTAAAAATATTTTTAAATTGTAGCTGTAATAGTCCTTCAACGAACTTAAAACTTACAATTTGTAAAAACCTAATCGTTTAGCTACATACTCTGCGTCGTATGTGGTGAACAACCTTGTATAATACAATATGCATAGTGTATAAATTCGCTAATGGGAATAAGTTGTTACAATTAACTGTTCCGATTAAAGGGGTTGCTATACTGTTTGGATAGTGAATAATTTGATATAAGTACAAAATTTATACATTTAGGTTTATACAGGGGGAGCCAGTATTCCGAAAATGCTCCACGTCAGATTTCGTTTAAGTTTATTAATAAACTAAGCGGGCTAACTAAACGTAGCGCAAGTTTTTAAATCAAACTATTTTTGACACGTAAAAACTCTTTTTACGCGTAAAAACTATTTGTTACACGCAAAAAACTATTTTTATGTGTAAAAAACTATTTGTTACACGCAAAAAGCTATATGTTACACGCAAAAAACTATTTGTTACAAGAAGTTTCACTTCAAATATGCACATTTTTTTTATTGTTTTAATTGGAAAACGACATCTAATATGGAGTTTTCTGAAATACATTGGGCCACTCTTTATAAATACTTCTCATATACACACACAAAGAACTTTTTCTTTATCTTCTGTTATTTCTGATTTCGAATTATCTCTAATTGGATCACATTTTTCACAACTTTTTTTGGAACATTTTGGACTGGATTGAAAGAAATGTTTCCAAGCATATTGGATCTCCTTATTATTTCCATGAGTTAACTTGTATATATATGAATCCTTGGTTAATGTTTTGATCGAACACTGGGATATAACATTTATAAAAAAAAATTAAAGAACATAAAGATTATCTAAGAAAGGGAGATTTTCACAAATCTAAGATTTGTCAGCATTCATGGGACACAGGGCACAGAATAAATTTTAATAACGCCAAAATTATAATGAAAGAAGCGATAGCCCCTAAAAGAAAAATAAAAGAGATTTTTTAATTCAATCTAATAAAAATAAATGTATTGCTCATGCATCTATAGATGTTAGTAATGTATGGCAATCGCTTCTTTGATTTTAAAGAACATAACATAAATAAACATAACATACGTAAAATTTAAAAATAATCATACAGAAAGTTTGGAGCTTTTTGGTTTTACCTTATTAAGTAATTGTTATCAGGTAGTAATTGTTAATTTTGAAGTTTAACGTGATATAATGTCATTTTAACAGAAAGTCAACGGTTTCTTATAGACGTATCTGTTTTAAAAAAGTAAAGTGTTCTCGAATAGTTGATTTTAATATCTTAAATAGTTTTTTCTTTATTCTTTGTATTTTTTTGCTTCCGACGACGGAAAGAGATAAACTTTCCGAAACGTTAAGCATTTTTTTCTTTGTTAGGCAAATTTGTATAATTATTGTAAACATAACTTCTGACAAGCAGTGTCCGTTTAGATTTAACGCAGAAGTGTTTACAAAAAATAACTATTTTATTTTGTAGATTTTCTTGCAGTGCAGTGGCGAAATACCCATAAAGGATTTTTTTGGAGGAACATTTATAAAATTATATTTTTAACCGTTACCGTTACAGTGTGCCCAACTAGAGAATAAATGACAGTGATTCTCTGTGATTTAATTTAAAAGTAAAGCTTTTTTCACAGTTTTTGCATATCGTCTGTCGAAATAGTCCCTTGCTGGACAGACTTGACCTTTTATAGAAATAGTATATTTAGTATTATACGGGTTGGCCTTAACTGAAGTATGTATTTGAATATTCTAGCGAATACAATATGTAGATTGAAGCACTTGAATATCTGACATTAAGGATTTCTGGGATTTTTCGATTAAACATAATTTCAATATTTTTGAGGCATAGATCATACCAAATAAACTTTTAGTTACGTGATTAAGCTTGACCGGCACAGCGTTGCCCACTTTTACCTATATTCTTTTAATCAAAATATTTTATGAAACAAAAATGAATTAATTATAAATAAATAAACAGTTATTCTTTACATCAACAAAACTCACCTCCTAACATAACTTAAGGGACATAAAGGGCCATTATTACAATTTTCCTGTACAAAATATTTTAATAAAGTTGCGATGAGTTTTTTGCAACGGTTATTAAGTTATCTTGTACACTTCACATTAAAAGAGGTTCTAAAAAGAAGAATGTTCGACTGCAATGTCTGATAGTAAAAAAAATTAAGCTTAAAGTATCACAACACAATTCATTTAAACTAAAAACTAAAGTGTCAAAACGAATGACAATGTCAGGAAATAAACAAATAAATGTGACAACGTGACATTTTTTACAGAAGAGCTACCACCTGAATCCCCAGCGGGAAATTCTAGTTAGTCAGCCTGGCGAATATGTCGATGGTTGGCAACAATTAATTTAAAAATTGCGCCCTCGATTACGTAACTAAAAGTTTAATTGGTATCGCTTATATGTAATTGCACATATACTAGTTTTGAAGTCTCTTTCTAAGATTTACCGTAACCTTACTAATTTAAGTCAATATCATACAATATCTTTCCAGATTAATACACTTTGCGTGAATTATAATGATTAACCGTATTGCCGTTGAACTAGTGAGACAAAAACTTGTATAATTTAAAACATGTAAATCGTATATTTTTTTAGTTACCTTAATAGTATCCCTTCGTGGGTATTCCGATTTAATAGGAAGGAGATCATTTGTGGTTATATCGTCCAGTATATCAAGGTGTTCAAGTTTTTGATTAGTCATATAGAAGTATTTAGTTCTCATCCATTTCATTCTACATTTCTCTGGTTCCGATAAAGGCTGATCATTTATTACTGTCGGTTTGTACTTGCATAACGAATCTGAAATATTATACTTGTATACAGTCTGTAAAACGAAAAGGATATGTGATAGCGATTGTTGGGTGTCAAACAGCGTACACACTATGCCAGAAACAACCCGACACATGTCAAGGTCGCATTTCGTCACCCAAATTTGTACGCATTTCGATTTATTTCCAGTTGTCTTGACCCACTTCGCTTTGCCTCGACCTACTTTCGATTCTTAAAAGCGCGCGAAAACTACTCGTGAGGAGAGCGAGGGGGGATTTTTTTTGGCGATTTGCCTCGTTCGATTTTGTTTTGTTTTGAGCTATTTCCAAAACGTGGCGCTATCTGTATCCGAGGCAAAGGATTTTTTTTCATAAATCTCAGTGAAATAAGTAAACCTAGACGTTTCTAAAAAAATAGCTGTTGTTACGGTGATATTGCGTTAATTACATCTCGTTTATGTTATATTGATATATATTCCACATTCCACAGAATTAATATTTCAACACGCGTTTATTATATGCATAGTAGATATTTGGGAACAAAACTTTTCACTTAAACTGCAGAAACAGAATTACAATATTTTTATGATTTAATTTTATTATAATGATTTTATATACTAAAAATTGTATATGATATGTTTGTTTCCGGCCTTAATTGATTTATATAAGAGTAGTATTGCTTGATGAGTAATACTGGTACTCAATCATGTAGTTACTCATCATGATGATGAGTATTGCTTATTGATGAGTAATACTGGTAACATTATCAATATATCCGCTTGGGAAAATTATTATTTGACCCGATGTCAACAAAAGTATGGTCTACGGACATTATTTATAAGCAATGTTCTTTTATTGTTCTTAAGAGAAATCTGGAAACGATACTTTTATTAGCACCCAGCATGGTTTGATATATATCCATTCAACTAGTATTGATTATGCAGGGATTTAGACAATTAAAACTAGAAAAACAAAACCAAATTAGTAAACTAAACTTTGCTACAGACTACAGTTTAAATGTTACTTAAATGTTAACTGTTACTATAGAAATAATAAATAATTAGACGGTTTTTTAAATAATTTTGTGTATATTTTGTTCATTAGGCGCAATACCGTGGATTATAAGCCGATAAGTGGTAGACCGCTAGTTAGTCACTTTTATTTTTTTTTACTATATTGTAATTAATAATATTAGACAATGATTAAAAGCTAAATATTCATGTGTAAACTTCGAGGATTAGCCAATTTAATTTACCATCGGTAAATGTTTTCATATCAGTTTTTCCATGTTTACTTATCTTTCTGAAGCCAAAACAACGTTTGACCTTGATTGCCTCGTGCTATTTCACAAAATAGCACGATAAATATAAGCCCGTGTTATAAAAATTAGTTTCCACGTTTCCAGAAATTGATCGAGACGCGCCCAGATTAACAATAAAAAACAAAGAACCAATCACGGCGGGTCTCGATCAATTTCAGAAAACGTGGAAATTATTTTTTATAACACGGGCTTATATTTATCGTACTATTTCCAGAAATGTTTTTTCGAAATGTTTCACGAAATATTTCGGGGATAGTGTAGTGGCTCTACATTGGGGGGAGAATTTTATTCTTCTTACTTACTTTGAGACTGGTTTTTACTACTTTTTTTATATTTCACAGTTAAGGCACTCGGTACGGAATACATTTGTGGCAGACATTTTTCCTTTGAAGTAGAGTTTTCGTGTTTTTTCTTTTTGTCTTTTCTATGTTGTCTTAGCTATAAATGTTGTCTAAAAAGTTTAAAACAAAAATGCTTTTACACTTCTACTTACATCACCTTTCTTTTGCCTGAACCACAAACTATCCTTATATTTTTTTGACAGATCTGCTAATGAGAGTTGCTTTTTATTTGCAGTTGAAGATTTTACTACATTTATTTCAATTCTGGGATTTCTAAAAAAGTAAAATAAATAAATAGTACAGCACACTTAAGAATAATTGTTTACATGTGTGTGTTCTCTGTATAGGGTCTTGATATAGGCGATGAAGGGTGGTTGTTTGACATATATTTTCTATTTTTTGCCATCAGCCTTTGGAAGAAAATCAGACTATCGTTTGCTTCTACTTGCGCAACTAATCTTTGATGCAAGTCAGTAATGGCTCGTTTTCTGTATACATCTGGACAAGTAAAATTAAGTTGATTGTCTTTTTCTAAGGCTAAAAAATAGAACACATTAGAACACTCTGCAGCGATGAGCAACAGATTGCAAACTGCGATTCAATCGCAGCGATTTTAAAATCGTAATCGCAACCTGCGATTGGCTCTTATAGGAAACTGTGACTGCGGTTTCTTCTTTTTGCGAGTTTTAATTTAGGTAACCAATACCGGGTGCGTCTCAAAAGTGACTCACTTTCTATCTGCGAGTTTGGATTCTTAGGTGTTTTGCGATTTTGTTGCGATGTAATTTTGCGGTCCATTGAAGCATTTTATAGTAAACTGTGATTGAATTGTTTCTCTGATTTTATTTATTTATAGAGAAGGTATTATTTTCTAGGGCCAAGATCAATGAGATAAATTTTTTTTTGATAAAAAAACGAGATTTGGTGTGTTAGCATATGACTAAATTAGGATTGATTGGCCGTTTTGGTTACTTCCTGTTTCATCGGGAATGAATTTTTACTTTATTCGACAGAAAATGACACTCGAATAGAATTGCATATCATATGTCAACTTTTGACATTTACGTTTAAAAAAATCGTATTGTTACGTTTTTCGTCGGTTCCGTGTGGATAGAAAGTCACAATTTATTTAAACACTATTTATTTAACACTAATTAACAAAAACAATAACGATAAAAGACTTATAGAACTATTTACAAACGATTTATAACTAAGAATTTATTTTGAATTTTAGCGCGTCAACTGCACTGGTATATTTATAACTGCCCCTGTAGGCCACAGCCGCCGGCTTTTATACCGACAGGTAAAGAACTCTAGAATAGTCCATAGATCGTTAGGTGCGTAGAGAAGGTTTTCGAATGTTCTCGTATGTACTAGTCCATTCCAGTGGGACTCGATTTTTCTCGAACGAATGAATCATTACGGTGTCTATTCTTTAATGCGATGTTAAGGTCATCTGAGGGCGGGACATATAGTTAGGTTAGGCCGAGTCCACACGGGTCCGCAACACTGCCCCCTTCTTAGGTACATGCTCGTCCCGAGATGTACACGGTGAATGAAGGTATTTGCAAAGCTGGCCCCTGGTATATTGCGAAGTCTGGTAGAAATAGTAGTCTACAGTTTTCTCTCCCGATCTCAGCTTTGGGTTGTAGCAGCAAACGAGGATCTCGATTCCCGTAAATCTGAACAGGACTTCGATCATGTTCCGGATTGTACGCCAACTCAAACCATCGAGTCCACACGCCAGCTTCGGAATGGCTAATCGTGCAATGTTGTTGTTTAGCAGGGCTTCTCTCAGTTCAATCAGGGTCTTCCATAGATTGAGATAAGTCGGCTTACTCGGGGACCATTCCTTGGTGACCAGGTAGAAGATGTGCCTTGCTTGACCATGTGCATTGTCGGTTAGCCTCAAGACGCTTCCAACCTCTGGATCCTGTCGGCGTAGTTCTCCGACACGCCCAAACTTCTCATTGAACGTCGCAGCGATTCCTCTGGACATCCGCAAATCTCGAGCCACACAATGAGCGAGCGAATAATCAGGAGGCACGGAAAAGAGGTCTCGTTGATCTTCTTTGGTTACACCATAGCGAGCCTTCTCACTGCTGTTGTATCGGGCCATGAAATCGTCAAAGGACATCTCCGAATCAGGGGGATCAAAGCTGCAGGTTCTCACGGTCCCAGCACGATCTTCTATTTCGCCTTGGTAGGGGCTCAAACGGTTGAAATGGACTACCCTCGGTTTTCCTTTTGGCAATTTTCTGATACGGTATACGACGTCATTAATTCTATCCATGACTTCGTATGGCCCTTCCCACGAGGATTGTAGCTTCGGAGATAACCCACGACGTCTCTGCGGGTTATATAGCCACACCAACTTCCCTGGTTGGTATCCTCCATGCTCAGCTTGAATGTCGTAGTGTTCCTTCATTCGGTCACTAGCACTTTGAATATTTAGGCGGACTCTCTGATGAATGTCGTCCATCCTTTGACGTAGTGTGTGGACATAATCTTCTCCGGCGACTTCTTCTCCCGGTCGGCAACCAAATTTCAGATCACAGGGTAGGCGCACTTCCCGTCCCATAACGATGCTGGCTGGAGTTTGCCCTGTAGATTCTTGGACGGATGAACGGTAGGCCAACAGGAACAGGTGAAGAAATTTGTCCCAGTCTCTTTGGTGGTCAGAGACTACTTTGGCCAGATAACGGTTGATAGTTCTGTTCATGCGTTCAACCATCCCATCGGATTGTGGATGTAGAGCAGTCGTCCTGGTCTTGCGGATGTTCAGGACTTCACAGACGCCTTGGAACAGATTGGACTCAAAGTTTCTTCCCTGATCTGAATGAAGCTCCATGGGAACACCAAACCTGCAGATCCATTCTTTAACAAGGGCATCAGCAATCGTGGACGCTTCTTGATTTGGCAACGCGTAGGCCTCGACCCATTTGCTGAAGTAATCCATTACTACCACAATGTATTTGTTGCCATCGTTCGTCTCCGGGAAAGGACCAGCCACGTCGATCGCTATTCGTTCGAAGGGACTACCAACATTGTACTGGCGCATAGGGGCTTTACCACGCTTTTGTGGCCCATTAATGGCTGCGCAAATGTCACATTTCTTACACCAGGCCCTCACATCTTCTTTGCAGTTCACCCAGTAGAACCGTTCACGCAGCTTGCCAAGTGTCTTGGTAACACCAAGATGTCTCCGCTGGTTCCATTGTGAACTTCCTCCAAGACTTCTGGGACCCTCTTCTTTGGAATGACGATCTGTCTTCTCTCTTCTTGTCCCTCCGGTCTCTCGATCACACGGCGAAGTAGTCCGTTATCTATTACCAAGGAATTCCACTGGGCCCAGTACGACTTTACGTTCGGCGAATATCTGCAAACTTCTTCCCACGTTGGTCTTTGGTCCGCGTTTTTCCAGTTAATCACCAAGCCCAACTCTGGATCACTGATCTGATCATTTGCAAGATCTTTGGTTTGCCAACTATCACCAACCACAGTCGTCCTTAAGACTTTCACTTCTTTCTCTTCTTTGCAACGATTTCCCATCTGTCCGCAATTCCAACAGCGAATCGGTCCCCCCTTCTTGCTCATATACTGATCCAGTACTTTCCGCACAATCCTTTCCACTTTGGAATCGTCGGAACTCTCCTCAACAGCCCGTACAAATCCTAGAGACCTAGAGCATTCTTTCGCGGCCTCAAATTCCAGGGCACGTGCTAGGGCATCTCCCAAATGCGTTGGATGAGCTAAAAGAAGTGTTTGCCTTGTCTCGTTGTCACATAAACCATCAATAAAAGCCTGTACTTTTAAGCGCTCCATAACATTTTCGGGCATAGCAGGGTACGCAAGGCGAACGAGGCGGGCTACGTCGGCTTCAAACTCCTGCAGAGACTCATTTGACTTTTGAATGCGATTTTTTAGCTGGGAATGATAGACATGTTCCAAATGAGCTTGGCCGTACCTCATTTCTAAATGTCGTACCAATTGCTGATAATCTCCCTGTTCCGATGGTGACAATGTCTGCAGGATATCAGTCGCATCTCCTCGCAGTGCGACAGTCAAAGCGGTAGCCTTTTCAGCGATTGTCCATCCGTTCGCTCTCGCAGCGGCCTCAAACTGGCAAAAATAATTGGCCCAAGCGGTTTTTCCGTCAAACTGTGGAGGTTTCATAACTGATTTTGAGATATACTTATTTTCGACTAGTTTCGGCCCCTCCGATGTTTCTTGACATTTTGGTGAATTTGACTTCGCTATTTCTTCTCTTAAAATTTCGATTTTTCTATTTACATCTTCCTCAATCTCTGTTATTTTGTCTTGTGTATCTGTTATCTTCTCTTCTAATTCCCTGGAATTTTCTGTTATCTTTTCTTCTAAATTAAGTATTTTATTATTAAAGCTGGCCTGTATGTCTTTAGAATTTTCTGCGATCTTATCTTCTAAAATATTAATTAAATCCTGGGAATTTTCCATAATCTTATCTTTCAAACTGTCTTCTAAGTTAATTATTTTACTATTCAAATTGTCGTTTAAACTGTCTTGTAAATTTTTCAATGACGAGTCAAGGTCACCTTCCAGCTCGAAGTAAAATGTGTCAGGATCCTCACCTTCCTCCACCAAAACGTCTCTCAGTCTAGCTTGCAAAATGCTTTTCTTTCCATCTGTCTCGCACTCTCTCTCCTCCAATATGCATTTCAGTTCGAATACTTTCAAGTCTTTCAACAATTTTTTCGAAGTCATTGTCAGTCTTATTTATTTTTTTTAGTCTATCACACACGCCACACTTGACACCAATTGTTACGTTTTTCGTCGGTTCCGTGTGGATAGAAAGTCACAATTTATTTAAACACTATTTATTTAACACTAATTAACAAAAACAATAACGATAAAAGACTTATAGAACTATTTACAAACGATTTATAACTAAGAATTTATTTTGAATTTTAGCGCGTCAACTGCACTGGTATATTTATAACTGCCCCCTGTAGGCCACAGCCGCCGGCTTTTATACCGACAGGTAAAGAACTCTAGAATAGTCCATAGATCGTTAGGTGCGTAGAGAACGTTTTCGAATGTTCTCGTATGTACTAGTCCATTCCAGTGGGACTCGATTTTTCTCGAACGAATGAATCATTACGGTGTCTATTAATGCGATGTTAAGGTCATCTGAGGGCGGGACATATAGTTAGGTTAGGTCGAGTCCACACGGGTCCGCAACAGTATTTTAGATTTCAATCTAGAGTGCCATGGTTGTGTTAAAAACTAATTTTTAATCAAGGATCCTTGGAAAAAAAAAATTTTGTTTGTTGTCCTGACCGATTACTAGATATCCAAATCGTATTTTTAATCACATCTCAATTTTTTGAAATTAATCGGGGATAGCTAGGAAAGCATTTTTTTACGAATAATTTGGTACCACACATTTGGTATTTCGAGTTAAATTGTCGTTATGAACCGCATTTTTCAATTTCCATTTAAATCATATGCAAAAATGTCAAAAGTTGATATACAGGGTGTCCCAGGCTGAGCGTGTA